TTTTTTCTGTAATTTTAATACTAATTTAAGCAGTAAAATTTTCAAAAATTTAGTTTTTTCTCAATTGTTTAGAATTAATAAAATCTGTAATAATGTTTTAAGTTTTCAAAAGGCAAACTAGTAATTTTTTCAAAAATTTAGAAAGTAATGGTTTTCCTTTTGATTTTTGTAATATAGATTTTAAAATTTAGAAAAATGATTGAATATTATTAGGTTTTCATTTGGTTTAGCAAAATTCCAATCTTGTTCAAGTCTCCTCGGTCAGGCTTTTCGTTTAATGACGTCAGCACTTTCTTAACTCCTGTCCTTTTTGCTTTAAACCGAGCAGAATAGGGGGCTTTGTTTTTATGTTTATTTTTTTTTCAGTTGTGTCTTGCAGACATTTGTGATATTTAGTTATTTGATTTTTTTATTTCAAGTAACCTTTCGCTCTTACTTCTGTATTTTAAATTGTATTTAATATTGTATTCTTCTGTGTTTTTTTGTATATTATGTATTTCATTCTTTTTCGGGACTTTGGCAAAACCTTTGGGGTACAGAGAAAGCAATTTTTGACTTTTGTCTTGGCTTTCTCAATAGAAAAGGTTTTGCATGTATGACATCCGAAGCTGTCGACCTGACGACGTCAGCTTTTGTTGTCCTATTTTCCATTTTTTAAATTTTTCATTGTCTCATTTATGAATGGATTATTTATTTTAGTGCTTAGGATGGACTTGGTACTTATCTGCGGACACCCAAGTATTTATCGCGAGTTTGTTTGTCTGCGCAATCATGAGAAGGTAAGTTGTGCTGCTTACAAAGTAAATAGAAGAAATTAGTTATGCTAATAACCTGAAATCTAATCTCTATGAAAGAATTTTCCTTGTTTTAAACCTTCCCACGCGAGAGGTGACTGTCAGTCACTACTGTCACCTGTAAAAAAACCAATACTCTAATTGTGAATTTTTTTTTTCATCTTAATGTTTAGTTACCACTCCAATCAGTGATCCTCGGATTTCACAAGGTGAGATTGCAAAAATTCTTCCAAAATGATAGTGGTTGAGTCCATTTTTTTAACAGTTGAAAGGACTTCGAGTGCAAAGGGTTAAGACAAACAAAGAATTATGGATTTTTATTTGATTTTTGGTTTAACTGTTTACATGCCGCACTCTTATTTTGAAACAGTAGAAAAAAAGCCTTAGCGAAAAATGTGGTAGCAAGTTTTCATCAAAATTATAGAAAATTTCCAAAGATGTTAACTGCTCCGGATACAATAAAAAAAAAGTTTAAAAATAAAAATGGTTGAAAACTTCAAACGAAATTTTGCCAACTTACATTTAACAAAGTAGAGTATTACATAACTCTTTGCAACTAGTGGTGAGTAAAAATCCTGTAAATCGAACTTACAATAATTCAAAAATCATATGTTAAAGACCACCTCTTGATAATAATTATGGGCTGTCTGGAGCAATTAGCAACTGGTTTCGCTATAAAACTTAACTGATACAGTTCATAACAAGATATGCAATTTTAATTATTGATACATTCAGCTGGATAGGAATTTCCAGCTTCTAAAACTATGACTGATTAAATTGAAAAATTTGAGTTATCTATCTTTAATCTCTCTAAGATGATATATGTTCCAGAAATGGAGCATTCTTACTTAAATTGTTTATAAAATAACTTAAAAGAAGGCGGATCATAGAAACAATCGAAACTTATTTCTGAAAAGTAAGAATATTATACTGTATGATAAAATCCTGAAAATGGAAAGCAGTTTGTAAGTGTCGAGTGCGAAAAAATAGTGAACACCCTGTACCCTTTTGATCTAATTATTAGATTTTCGCGCAATAAGACGCCATCTTAAAGGTTTGAGGGCATAGCCTTAAATGTGCTAATTAAATAGAGCAGGCGATATTAAATTTCTAAATCTGACACAAAACACTCCGAATAAAAAATGGGGCAACCGCAATCTGAAATAGTTCAAACAAGATAGAAGTCGAAAGTTTTAGATCTCTTAATCGAATTTAGCAAGTATTTTGCATGTTTTGCGAAATTTTTAAGCGATATGAAAAATCTTTGCACACAATTACAAAATTTTGTTATCTAAAGTTAATTATTCGGAAAAAATATAATTAATAATTATAAATTATTTATTATTATTTTTTCAGAAATGTCCCGCAATGGACTGATCGTAAAGACGCAGTTTCCAATAAAACATTGAAGTTAAGCATCACTTGCTGCGGTCAGTAGGCGGGTGGGTGACCATTTTGATCAGCTTACTAAGGGACAGCTTACAAAGGGACAGAATTTAAGCGAAATCGGTTGAATAGTTTTTATGTTACCGATTTCAAAAAAAATTTAAATTTGACTTCTCGAGAACTATTTGACAAATTTCGTTCAAATTTTGTCACTTAATTAAGATTGCATACTTATAAACATAAGTGCCTTAAACTTTCGGTAGTAACGGAAGCTAAAATGGATTTCCTTAGTTAAAGTGCTCATGCTTAACCTCTCTTCATATCACTATCTGAGTATTTCGAACAATGCAACAGAGAATGGAATAGATTATTTTTTTAATTTCTATCACTCCAAATGTCAGTTCTAGAGTCAAATGACGCTGTAATAGGTCATTTGAAAGAATTAAAAAACTTTTAGGAAGAGTATTTCATGTCTATCTTTAAGGCTGTAAAGTTAAACTTTCTGTGATTACCCCTTTTTATATTTGACTAGAAAAGTATAATTTGCACCCCGGCAAGAAAACTTACACAAATCAAAAAACAGCATTTGAGAAAATCAACGAATACTATAAAATTTATTCTGAAATAGCATAATCTTCAGCACAATCTAGAGATGAGATACTTTTTGAGCTTGTTGTGACGCTTCATATATATTTTCTGTTGACATAACCTCAAAATTGCTGTTTTTGACTTGTGTCACTTTTCTTGCAGGGAGCGAATTGTGTGTGATATTTCATGTGAGCAAATATATATGTTTCGGTAATTCTAAGTTGTAAAGGAAATTTCTCTCAAAAACGAAACAATGACGAAGACATTTTTTATTGTCAGCTTTTTATCGTTGTAAGTTACCTAAAATTTATTTCAGGAAATTCCAGGGGTGATAGAGATTAAAAATGATCCACTTGAGACAATACTTACATTACCGTCTAATAACCAGGCTACAATAAACGCTTTTGGAATGCATTCTTACCTCTTAAGTAATGGATATCTCAAAATTATTTAGTAAATATACTAAAAATGACATATAGCGCTTTATTCAAGAGAATGTAGTACAGGGGTTAAGCTCTATGCAAACGATGTTTCTTCTGCCAGCAAATATTTTGTTAGATTTTACCTGACTAACCTACTTGCACAAGTTCATGAAGTAAAAATGCCTTTTTAACATTAGTAGTATTTGGTTCGATCGACTAAAATGAGGACACTTAAACTTAGATGTAATACCAAATATTTTTGTAACGTTGGAAATAGCATTAACCGATTCATTGAAGATCAAAAGTCGATAATGTAGATTCCGTGGATAGGAATCTAGAATAAATAGAGAAGAGAACGAAAAAAAAGTTCAGCATTAATGGTGGTAGACTGGCGTTGATTTCAGGAAATCATCAGTGTTCAGGGGGTAAGCCCCTTGAGAATGGTTTGCAGGAGTCCAAACACTTTTTGATTCTTTAGTAGGTCTTGTAGCTCCTTAATTAAGGAAACCAGTCGATGGGCTGATGATGCAGGAGATGAGGTTTAGTGATTAAAATGGCTTTCTCTACTGGGGCGGGACTCGCACTGTGAGAAGTTAGAAATGTGGTCCTTCACGCTTTTGTAGCATCTAGCTGGTGAGTCTCGGCTTTTCTCGCTCAAACATGAGTATAGTCTGTTCAACGAGAACTGATAGTGAAAGTAAACAAAGCAGCGTGCTATTTGACTCAATACAGTTGTCTACTTGGAGCCGGAAAAATGACAAATAGCGCCTATCAGTCAAGCAAAAACTCTTATTTTTTAGAGGGTTGTTTGTTTCGCCGTTGTGTCTTTTTGCAGGTGTTTCATGAGCAATATGGAAAATAGAGTAATGGATTTAAGTCTTCCTAAATAACGGCAGCAGAAATTTTACATAAGTAAAGCAGAGAAATGTTGTTGTTGTAGTTCATTTACGTCGCACTAGAGCTGCACAATGGGCTAGTAAAGCAGAGAAGGAAATAATATTGAATATTTAAGTGCATTCAAAACCAGATGTCCCAATCATTGATGTGGCTGACCATGCGGTTTCTGCAGCGGGAGTTAGCACAGCTTCTGTTTTCAGAATTATTAAAGAATATAAAAGGGATGGTATATTACATTCACCGAAGAGGACTAAATCTCGTAAAACTTTTTTGGATGGCATTGACGATTTCGACAACAATGCTGTAAGAAGAAAAGTTCATGATTTTTTCCGCCGTAACGAAATTCCTACAATAAACAAAGTTCTCATAGCTGTGAACGATGATTCTGATTTACCAAACTTGAAAAGAACGACATTTTATTCCCTGTTAAAAATAGGCTTCAAACATTAGAAACGAGGACGGAACAGCTCACTCATCGAAAAAGATGAAATAATTTTGTGGAGGCGAAGATATTTAAGAACAATTAACAAAATGAGACAAGAGGGAAGAAAAATTTATTATATGGATGAGACATGATTGAATGCTGCACATACACAAGACAAAGTGTGGAATGATACGTCCATTATCTCGTCAAATCAGGCATTTTTATTTGGTCTTTCTACGGGATTAAAATCGCCTTCTTGTAAAGGTGAGAGACTTATTATTACGCACATTGATAGCGACGCACGCTTTTTACAAGAAGGGCTTTTACTTTATAATCGAACAAAAACAAGGATTACAATTAGGATATGAATGCAGCGTGTTTCGAAGAATGGTTCGAGAAAATTCTACCCTTTCTAGAGCCAAACTCTGTCGTTGTGATGGACGATGCACCATATCACTCTCGTAAAGAAGAAAGAATTCCTAACACATCATGGACAAAGAAGTAATTAAAGACTGGCTAAAATCTAAAAACATTGTTAGTGATGAAGAAGGTATGCTAAAAACTGAACTACTGGATATAGTGAAGGCTCATAAGCACATATTTGACAAATTCGCGGTGGATGAACTTGCTAGACGTAATAATATAATGATTTTAAGGATTCCCCCATATCGCACTGAATTAAATCCAATTGAGCTGATTTGGGCCCAAATGAAAGGTTCACTGGCCAAAGAAAACAAAACTTTCAAGTTATCGGAAGAAGAAGGATTGTGCATGAGAAGTTTAAATGAAATTGGAGTTGAAAAGTGGAAAAATTGCATAGAACATACGCAGAAAATCGAAAATGAGATGTGGGATTTGGACGAAGCCATCGAGAACACTGTTAATTCTCTAGTAATAAATAAATATCAATTCAAACGACGAGGATTCTACAAGTTCTGAGAGTGAATCCTGAGATAAGTTTCTAGTTTCATTTTTACTTTTTAATGATATCATTATTCGTTATTATCCATGTTTAATTCATCGTTAATACAGTAATTCTTAAAATTTTGTTCTTTTCTGCGTAGTTTAATAAAATTATTTTTGTTTTCGGTACAGTTGTTGATTAATTACAGAAATTCAAATGTTACGTAAAATTAAATAATTTTGACACTTGATTCTATTTTCAAAAACCTATTGAATTCGAGGTTTACAAACTGCTTTTTTTATAGTTTAAGTGGATGTATATTTCTTAACAAAAGATTTTGTGAGATACTTAAAAAAGTTCCAAGTTTCTTTTAGTGTAATTATTTTCGTAATACTTCCCTTAGAAAAATAAAGATAATTAACAGTTTAAAAATACAAATAAATGCAGTTCCTTCATATATATTTTTAAATCAATCGGGGAAACATAAAACTATTTTAAATATTATTTAACTTTTAATAAATTTAAAAAAATTGTAATTATAAAAATAAAGAGTATTTTTTTTAACATATTCTTTCAATTCTATACGACTTTTACGATGGAATTATAAAAGTTATGTTTTGCATAGATATTTATGCAAAATATATTAAAACTAATTGATTCTAAACTTAAAAATGCATTAAAACTGATCTTAAAATAAAATTACGTGTTTACTGAAACAATTAGAAACGTATTTTCATGTAAATATTTTAATTTTGCACTTTCTTATCTAATTTTAAGGTATCAAAAACCAAACATCGTTTTCGTTTTTCTATAAAAGCGAAAGCTCTGTCGATTCAATTGAAATTCTCGTTGAACGGACTATAGTGTCCTTCGGCACGCTTCATGCAAATATTTTTTTTACCTATTCCTATTTGCGGTTTTTATCCCTGTGAGGGGCTCTAGCTCATTCATCTGATTGTATTTGAGTTGAGAGTTGCCAAAGCAAAAATGTGAGGGGAAAAAAATAGCTTACTCTCCTTATGTATCGGAGAAAATATATACTGAATTACAGTACAATTAATTCTGGCCACCCCTTGGTGTAAAACCCCAAGCTTCGCAAGTGCATGGAGTGGTGTATTGCCCGAGATGAGATAGGCAAATATTATTTACTGACTGGCTGATACAGTTTTATCGGAGTGCCTAACGCTAGGGGATATGTGCTCCTTCATCTAAGTCAGTGTTTCTTAACCTTTTTGATATAATGGACCCCTTCTAAAATTTTTTAAGAAGTCACGAACCACCCCCCTGTGAAAAAAAATAATTGCAAAAAACATCAATTATTAGAAATCATTTAATTTTATTATTTTAATAGTATACAAAATTTTTAATGTGAAGGTTGCTGCTGCTTTTCCTTAATTAATAAATTTAATTGGGGGATGGTTTTCGACAAAGCAACGTGTATATCATGTTCAACATTCAATCGATTTCGATGTTATATTTTTATTGTCACAAGTGTGGAAAATTCTGCTTCGCAAAGATACACTGTAGCAAACGGAATTATAGCTGCCATAGTTCGATTTACAAGCAATGGGTAGGCTTCCAAACGTTTTAAAAATCAGGAGTAGTCAGCGGACCCCCAAAATATAACTCATGAACCACAGGTTAATAAACCCTGATCTAAGTTAATAAATTTAAAAATGGAGGACGTTGCATATGTTAAGTATCAATTGCAAATAATTAAATTATGCTATAAGATAAAGATATAAATATGTTTTTAAAATTATAGTGGTATTTAAGAAATTAAAAAAAAATATTTTGACTCTTTACGCTCATTTTGGTAGGGACAAATTTTGCATGGGTAAAAAGGACATTATTTCTAAAAGCTTCACGCGTAATCTTTCAAGTTTTGTCACATTACGCCTACCAAAACATTTGCTGCAAAAATAAAGATTGTTTACAAAGAGATCTTTCTATGTTTTTGTCCAAATCATGTAGATTTTACTTCCATTATTATTAAAGTGCATTGTTGAATATTATTCTTATTATTTTTAAAAATTAATGTAGAAGGCCGGGAAGAGGATTCTTATTAGCTGCATTTGTAATCGTCATGAGTGTTTTGCTAGCAACATGTTCTCATCTTTATTACAAGCTTCCACCAACTTATCTTCTATCACATTTGAATCTCGAGTAAGTCATTAAGTGTTAAATTTTTGAAATATTTAACTTCGTAAGTTTCCTTATAAAAAACTAGTCAATAAGAAGTTCATATTAAATTTAATGCTCCTAATTTTCGAATAAATTAAAGGAAATTAATTTTTATTTTACCAAATATAGAACTCGTTTAAACTGCTAGGGCAGGAGTTTCTAAATTTTTGGGTATGCTTACTTAGAAGAACAATATAATTGCTTAAAAATTTCTATTCGAAGCAATAAAAATAAACATATTATGTTATTACTGTTCTAGAAAACGTATATTTTCCCAAACTGTCATTTCATATCGCTATAAACTTTAATATGCTATTGACCTACGCGTTATGCGTATAAGTTATTGCCTTACTTTTTACTCAAACTCGAGACACAGGACTAATCAAATAGGTGTTTGACTTCAATATTTTGTAGTTTGTTTTGGTGTAGGTATTTTTTTCAGTTCTTAAATACGTTTTTTTTTTACAGAGATTGGTTTTTTTATGCTGTCAAAGGATACACACCAATTCATTTTCACCTTCCTACTTGCGCTATTGGATTAATTGTTGGTTACATCTTGGCGACCAAAAGAGGCCATATACCAGAAGTATTATCTTGTTTGTTTTACAATTGTTTTCAGTGTATCAAAAAACATTTTACTTTTATTCCTGACTGTACTGCCGTGTTAGTTCAGAAAGGTTGTAAGTGGATATAAAAGGAAATATTTTGCCAACACTTTTTTTAGACCAATTTCTTTAGTGTATTCGGATCACTATTTTAAACTTGAAAGAAACACAAAGTATGCAATTTTTCTTGACATTTTTTGTAAAATGTTTTGTATTTTTGTGTTCTTAATTAGTATCTTAGTTATATATAAGTAAAAAATATTTCACCCCTTAGCTTTTTCTATAGTGCTTCGAACATATATATGTAAAGTATAAGGAAGCAAAACTAATAAACAAAAACTAGGAGGCTTCGCCCCCTGCTCGCTGGCGCTCGCCAACCACCAACCATTTCGGATTGCTTCGCAATCCGATGTTCGCTTTGCTCGCGCATTGGATACGTTCTTAACGTCTAGCTTTTGTATACTTTTTTGAACACTGAAGTTCCGAAAACTTTAACTGTAGAAAATTCTAAACCTGTGCATTTCAATATTAATTTGAAATCGCAAACAGTTCACATATTTTTCTTAATCACACTATTCTAAATTTTAGTTGTTGAGAAAAGTAACTTTTGTTTTTAAGTCTTTCCCACCAGAGGGCTAAAACCACGTGTTGTAAAACAATAGGAAATAGTACTGAACGCCGGATGTAATGCATCGGCTTCGATGAAGATAATTTTGTGAGAATTTTTTTGATAATTCGGTGAGAATTCACCCGATTAGACATATGATATGCTTTATGTGCTCTTGCGCGCCGAAGCCTATCAATTAAAACGTATTAGCGTTTTATATAATATAGATTAGCCATATGATGCTCACTACGTGCTCTTGCGCGCCGAAGTCTATCAATTAAAAATGAAAACTGTTACCAACGCGAGAAAAGAAATATCATCGGTTTTATTGATACATACGTATTAGCGTTTTATATAATATAGACAGATATGTATAATCGCAGTGTATTAACACTTGATGTTTTAAAACTACGAATTGAACTTATTAATGTTTCTTCGTTTAAATACACGTTTTGAACAAAAGTGTTTCTTTGGTAAGAAATCAACTTATTTTAGATATAGCTAAATTTAGCTTTTTTCAAACTTTTAAAGTCGATATACGAAGGGGAAAAAATTCATTGAAGAAAATAAATAAATGAATGAATAAACAATTTTTCCCTCCATTGCATTACAACATTAAAGGGGTAAAGAGTAAAGTTATTAGAGAGATCTGAATAGGGTTATGGTTCCCCCAAACGGTAACGTTAGTCGATTTTTACAGAACATGAGCGAAAATTTTCTTGTTAATTACCTTGTCTCCAAGAGATGGAAAATAAAGCTAGAGTTGCTGTTAGCGTAAGGCAAACGCTATGCAAACGTTTTCTAATTTCGGACCACTTGAGAGCCTAATTAAAACACCATTTTTATCAAACCAAGGATGGATGGAACTGTAGACCAGGCTGGTGATGCATATGAAAGTATTGGTCAGATCATAGATGTATATAGTAGTTTCTTTTGTTTTTAGCGACATGTTTTGGTTGTGTATTAGAGGCTGGATTATGATTATTGCTGCATGTACTTTGCTAATTATGATTTTAATACGATCATTCCAGGTTAATCTACCGTTTATTATATGGTCGAGATAAATTACCTTTTTTACTATTGGCGTGTGGATATTAAAAATTTTAAGGATGGGATTGTAGATATATTTTTATTCTCCTTTTCTGTATAACAAGTATTAGGGATCTTCCAACATTGACAGCAGTTTTCCATTTAACGCACCAGTCTTTTATTTCGCAGATCTGTTCTTGCAGTTTCTGTAGGGCCAGGTTTGGGTTTCTTGATTTTATTAAGATTCCAGTATTGTCCGCACATAAGGCTCTGATGCTATTGTATTGTTTTTTTTTTTTATTATTGGGAAATTATGTGTATATAAAATGCATGGTATCTGCTCAAGAATACCGTCCTGAGGTACTGCGGCTGTGATGTTGCGTTTTGATGATTTGTTATTTTTCACAGAGACTTGAAAGGTTTTATTTGTAAAGTAGCAAGATAGAAATTTAATAATGCCTGGGAGGAAGTTGAGTTGCATAAGTTAATATATATTGTGAAAGTGTGACGGACTTTATCCAGTGCCTTTTATTGGTAAACTATTACTTATTTATTTAACACCTAATTGTAATAGGAACTGTATTAATAACATATATTCTTTTAACTTTTTTTTTAAAGAATTAAAGTTTAGGAAGATATCGATTTACGTTGTTTTAAATTTTTTTTTTGTTGTTTTAAAATCTTATTCAATGTAAAATTTAACAAAACGATGCTAAGGGCGGTAGAGTTCTGATTTTACGTCATTTAAAATAGTCCCTCATGTCCAAGATTATATTGCAAGGGAGCTCAAAAACTGAGTTCGTCTCCGGGTGCTGTAAACTGGGTTGAAAACTGCTCCGCTTTCTGCAAAAGTTTTAATAAATTGGTAGCGAATTAAACAGTAAAGTTTGTAAAATAAGGATAATTACGTTTACTTTTTAAAAAGTAACCACATGATTAACAAAGATGTATTTTATATGACACTTCAAATGTTTGATAAGTAGTGGTGGAAAAAATGACTTACAATGAAAAATACTAAGTTGAAATTAACCTAAATTTCGTTACCGTTAGAAAATACTCTTTTAAAAAATGGAGCAAGTTGGCATCTCTGAGCCCAGTTATACCTCTGTTTTAGGTGTAATGTTGGAGTAAATATGTGTAAAAATAATCAGTTGCTAACTAATAATAATTTAAGTTAACACTTAAAAATGCAAATAGTTTCACTTTAACACTTAAAAATGCAAATAGTTTCATTAAATAGTAGTTCAGGAATTTTGACTCACTATGACATTGTTCATTATAACTGCTGACTAAGTTAAACTTTTTATTAACAGCATATTAATGCCATAGGCTGGTTTCTGTCATTTATGACATTCTTTACTATGATGACTTTGACTTACAAGTGGAACCAAGGAATGCACGCTCACCCAGGCGTCTTTGTCTCAACTTTATATGGCTCCACTCACAGACTGGCTTGGGGTCTGTGTTTAGCGTTTATAACATTATCGTGTACTTGGGGACAAGGCGGTAAGTTCTCATTTTGCAGTTTGAGAAAAAAATTGAGCTATTTTTGATGCGTTTTGTAAGAAGCTTCCATCAATGGTTCAAACTATTTATATCTGAGATACTGAAATATTTTTATGAACCACACTTTTTGTACATTACAACTTTTGCAATGTTTTATCAGTAACTATGATACATCATCTTGTGGTGTTTCTACACTTTCCATTTGATAATGTGTAGTATTAATTTATTTAAATTTTTTTAATACAAAAATAATTTTAAAATTCTCACACACATTATCCATAAATTTCTTATATTCCATTACCATTTATTTCTAAGTAGACGTCAAAAGTCACCGCTATAAAACCCATAATTTTTCTACCACTTTAGCTACAAAAAGACTTTTTGAGTTGACTTCTATTAAAATGTTGCATATTTGCGAAAGAAATGATAACAGTGGAGCTTCTGTGATAGCGCTCTAAACTTTTTCGAAAAACAGCAATGTCTGTTTAAAAAGAAGCTGTATCAAAATAGGCTAATAATTGCTTTTTTTTTTAAGAATTAACAATAGAATTCTGATATAAATAAATATTAACAATGAATATACACTATTGTCAAAAATTTCCCATCTCCATTCCTCCTCGTCATCGATTTATTACTACCGATGAATCGGATAATGCCGCTTTGCAGCAGCATACCGAGATTTATGTGATTTCTACCATTCTACCATTGTTTTTGAAAAATATAATACCCGTTTAAAAGAAAGCTGTGTTAAAATGGCTAATAATTGCTTTCTCTTCGGAATTATCTGTAGTATTAGTGATGTGCCAATCGATTCTTTGATTCTTCGTTTTAAATGGTCGTTATAATGAAAGAGTCGTTATAAGAGTAGGTCGTACAAATTAGTTTAGACTGTTTCAATGTTTGAATTAGTTGATCTTGGTCAGCGGTTCCAAATATTTTTCGGCTACGAACCCTAAATAATTAACCTTCTTTCGGCCGAACCCCTGACTTTATAAATGAAGTTTTTTAAGGTAATAGTCTATTAAAGACTATTTTTTAAATTAACTAGAAGATGGAAGAATTTTCATCGTTTTGTCAGTAATATTTGAAAGTTACATTTCCAGTTCTTGTGCTATATTTAGTCTAATTACGAAGTCTTTTTTAGTGTTTAAGTTGAAAATAAATAATTTTTGAATAAGTTAAAATAAGCCGAATTATGGTTTACTGCGAAATGAAAATTTAGAAAAGCTGCTACAAATGTTGAAAATGGTTATTAAGGAAACATATTTCTTTATGAAAGATGATAATTATTTTGATCGGAAAAGCGTGATGAGGAATACTAATACAATATTTTATGAATGCCTGTCCTTTTCATAATTTATTCATTATATTGTTATTAGAGATATTATATTTTCTTTTGAAAAATGTCATTTCTATTTTATTGGCATTTTCTCAAAATTAATTTCTTAAAAGTAACCGAAATGTTAAATAAATTATGGATTGTATCTAAATACAATCTGAGGATTTGAAATTCATCACTGACTATAAAAAGTACTAACTCGTGGAACCTCTGTAGCTCTTAACGGAACCCTATGTTTCCACGGATTATCATTTGGGAACCGTTTTTTTAGACCCTCGTACTCTAGGGTGCAGAAGCTGAATGTTCTAGTTGGGTGGCTATAAAAGTACTATCTCGTGTAACCGCTACTTTCCCACGGAACCATAGGGCTTTACGGAACACCAATTTGGAACCATTAATCTAGACCTTGTACTCTAGGGTGTGGAAGTAGCTCTGAATAAGCTGATACAGTGTAGAATACCAAATATTGACAAAAAGAAAAAAATAATAGATTATTTTTAAAAAACGAACTTGATGAATCGATTCACAAAAAAGAGTTGATTAAAATACCAACTCGTTCCTTTTTCGCACGTCACAATAGTATTATCATATAAATAAATGCTTAGCTGCTAACTTTTACGCATTTTGCGTCAAATTTTATTTTTTTATTTAAAGTGGTAGTAAATGTATGCTATCCTTACATTTATAAACTTAAATTTTTATGTTTCTGATCACCAATGTTCTTAAAAAAAATAAAGCATATATGTGATACTTTCATGGTTGTTTAGAAGGTTTCATGGTCATGTCGTCGGTAAAATAAAAATGCTTTAGGACAACGTCCGACGCTGATGTCATGCTGGTCTAGGATGATGGACTGATGCTTGTCATGCTCTACTCCTCTCCCTTGCGATGCCGGTCATGCTGAATTGATGCTGACTATCCTGAACGTTACAAACAAGGTGAGTGATACAGATTTTGATCTCGTCAGGTTCCTGAGTCGGGAAAGACAATACTGAAAACTGACCATTTTGATGTCTGGATTTTGAGCCCACCATTTTGTTTTTTCAAATCATGCCGTATCGTAAAACAGCTCGTGGTGCAAAGGTCTCACTCTGTGCTCGTAATTCACCGTCGCATTGCAAAGAATCCATGTTATTAGGAGAAATCATTGCTACCTGTGGGATTTCAAAAAGATATATTCCACCAGTTGAACATGAACATATTGATGATCTTGTACAGTTTTACACTCAGTTTGATACAGAGGAGCTGATTCGTTTAGTTAAATTACTTAGCAAACTGCTCATTCAAATAAGATCAAGTTACCCTGGAGACTATGAATACTCATACTTCCTAAAACTGACAAATGCAGCTTATCACGTCAGATGGAAGAGGAAAAACTTGCAAGCAGAAGAAAACAAGGAGATGAACAAAAAATCGATTCAAGTCGAATCAATAATGACTGAAACTAATCCAAGCACTGAAGACATAACCATGGAAAATAAAGATGAAAACCCGAATACAGAAACTGACACGGACATCAATATTAACAATAATACAGAACCACCAGCAAAGAAAAGAAAAAAGAAGAAGAAAAAGCAAAATGCAGTCAAAATAATTGAAGATAATTCTACACTCATGTCTACAAACAGCTGTCCTTCTAGTCAACATAACTCAACAGATGACGTCACTATCTTGCCGACAACAAAACCTAAGGAGGATACCGACAAAGAACGAGATTCGCCCAGCAAACCTGAAATAACACTACAAGCCAGATTTATTAAGGCTTTGGTCCGGGGCCTGCTGGGGAACTTTGATACAGATGCCATCAATACAGAAAAACAATATTGAAACCCTTAAAATAGTGCAGTTTAAGAAGAGAATGGGAGAGGCCTATCGGCTCCTTCCACTTTTTCTCATAATCCTAACATCAACTGCGAATCACCATAGAGTATTCGAAGTCAACAACATACAGCAGATCCCGATCAAAATCGAACGATATCGAGGACCTTTACAATGTTACAACTGCCAAAATTATGGACATACGCAAAGCCATTGCAATGCACCTGCAAGGTGTGTAAAATGTGTTTAAAACCACAGGTCATATCAATGCAACAAAGACAGAACAACACCTCCAAAATGCTGTAATTGTTACACGGCCAACTATACACTCTAAAAACTGTACCTCTGATTTCAGAGGCACAAGCTAAATGTACCGTGTATTTTCTCGCGTAAGAGGCACATAACTAATGTGCCTTTAAAAATGAGAGGCACGACGAGAAATTAAAGGCACCAAAGCAAACGCCAGTCAATGCGCGGTACGAAAAGATTTTCCCGCTTCTTTTGTGCCTCTCAAATTCGTTTGTGCCTTTCATTTCTTTTTCTTCGGTACGATCATGTAGCGGAGAATAAGCGCATGCGCACATCAGTGAAAAACCACGCCACCGATGGAAGCAGTTGTCTACGAATGTGTTCGATTGATGTTATAAAAATGCAAGAGGAATGTTTTTAAAGTGCCCTATATTCGTTCTGTAGTGTTTGATTATAATTATGTATGAGGTTTTCAATGTGGCGATTGCTATGAATAAGAAATCATTTTTATTTGAAATACCAATTTTCTTTTTTGTTTATCTTAGTTTATATTCGAGAGCTATCACAGAATGATTGAATAATTTAAAAAACAATGAAGAATGTTTTCGAATTTTTATTATAATTATGAAAAGTATACTTTCAATCATTAGCTATTTTTGAAAACAATTGACATTGATACATAATTATAATTGTTTCAAACTGTTACTAAACTTACAGTTGATATAAACCTGAAGAAAAAAATAAGATTATGCTTTATTTATATTTTAAATATGGTGTAAGCATGGGAGAAAAAGGCAATCTTCTAATGATTTATAAATTTTTAATTAGTTATTATTTTTTTTGAAAAAGTAATGTTTAAAAATGTTTTATTCTAACATCACAGCTTTCAGTGTATAATTTCAAATTTTAGTTTTGAATTTATGACTCAAAATAGATAACATGGGATGTATAATTATAAAATCGTAACATTTTAAATTGAAATTTAATTTATTTGATTTTTAAAAAGGATTAATAGCTTGATACAGGGTGCTCTTGTGGCACAGCAGGTTAAAATATCTTTCACGCTGCTTATTAGAGAACTAGGGTAATGAGTTTGATTCTGGCAATGTATAAAACAACTGACATGTATACTTAGCATATAAACACTGCCACAAGTGAAAGTTCTCTCATTGGTTATCGTGCAGAAGATTCAAACGAGCTAGCTCAAGCGGAGTCCACTTTATCTAACCAGTATCAAAATTACATGGCATTTTAACCATGGCCGTTAAAAAGTAAAGCCCTAGAAATAGTATTTTTGGTCATGGTTGAGTGATGAGTAC